GGCTGAGACAGGAAGATCACTGAGTCCAAGCTGCATAGTGATACTCTGTACCAAATAAATAAAAGACATAGTTTTTTAAAAAAATGAATTAGCTTTATTTCGTGTAGGACTGTTACCTTTCTAGTTTTGTAGATTCATTAATAGAATTATTTTTCAACAAGGTTTATGCAGTTGTATTCTTGTGAATTCAGAATGAGTGAGTTGCAGATTTGTTTGCCCTATAGTAAGTAGTTGTCATTTAGCTGATCAGGGTGAATAAGTCTGTAATCCCCAGGATGCTGGTAGACTGAGGCAGGAGAATTGTGAGTTTGAGCCTTTTCTGGGTGACGTAGTAAAGCCCTGTCTCAAAATAAAAATACATATAAATAAAAAGGAGCTGGGGGTGTAGCTCAGTGAGAATACTATGGCTTCAATCCTCAGTATGAACACACACACACATACACAAAGTGGTTGTCATGACTTCTTTAATGTCTATGAATGTCAGAGTTTCATAGATTTCCTAATTCCTACCATGACTTTTTTTTAAAATTTTTTAATGTATTTAGTACAGGATCTCACTACACAGATCAGACTTGTAGTGATCCTTCCTGTTTTTCAGCCTCCCAACTGGGATTACGGGCATGCCCAGTCTCAATCTCTGTCTCCGCACGCTGGCACAGAGGGTGGGTATCGAACCCGTGGGCCCTGCATTTGCCTAAGCAAATGCTTTAATCTGCTGAGTTATCTGGCCGGCCCTCCTACCATGGCTTCTTGACCTAGACTGTCTACTATATCTACCTTTTGGGTTTTCTCCATGTAGGTTGGGATATATTTATTTGACTTGACTAGGATTGTGTAAGGATTTACTTAGATTAATATATAGGCAATGGTTACCACCTGGCATGATGTAACCTTTCAAATATCAGCAACAGTAATCTTATATGATGACTTCTGATTCTTGTGGCCATCCTGTAAGTAGATGTTTTGCTGACGAGGATGCTAAAATTCATTGAAATTAAGTGACTTCAAAGTCCCTTGGTAGCCACTCACTAGCTATGATTTTTAAATCATCAAAGTAGTAGTACTTATCCATAGTTGCCTGCCTTAGTTTTTCAAAAGAACAGAAGTAGGGCCGGCCTGATAGCTCAATGGACTAAAGAGCCTGCTTAGGCAGAGCATAGCAGCCTGGGTTTGATCCCCTGTGTGCCTTGCCAGCCCTGCCCAAAGGGTCACTGAGACAATTAGGACTGGGCATGGTGAGGTACTCCTGTAATCTCAGCAATTTGGAGGCTGAAAACAGGAGAATCACCACGAATCTGATCTGTGTGGTGAGACCCTGAAGATCCTGTCCTAAATACAGGAAAAAAAACAACAACAAACCAAGTGTATTTTAAAAGAGGAAGAAAGCTTTAAAAAGATGTGTGTTAGTAGTGCTAGTGTTCTTCCAGCAAGCATTTAAATTCTTACTAAATGCTAGGCACTGAATGTTAGCAGTTAAACACAATCCTGACCTCTAGGACTTAACAGGCTGATGAAGAAATGAGCAGTCAATGCTCTGGTAGTATTGTGATGAAGTGGAGATACAGAACTATAAGAACACCAAAGATGAAGTGTTTCCTTGTCTATATTTATTTATGGCTGGTTGTAGAGTTAGGTTAGAGGAAGCTGTCCAGCCTATAGTCTTAAAAGAAAGAGCAGGAAAAAGAGAAGGGTCTTCTGAGCAGTGATAAGCCCTGGCCTTAGGGTTCTGTGCCAGGTGGGAAGAGTGTATTGCATGGATGGGAAGTAACACATATTTGTGGTATGATTTGAGTTTGAATCATGTGAAACTGTTAGATTTGACCACTTCAACAAAAGTAGCAAGTGAGGAAGGGACAGATAGAGGGAGATGAAACTAAAAAAAGGAAACAAGAACTAGGTCAAATTACCTTATTTTATCTGTTTACAAATGTGTATTGTGTAGGGTTTTCAAGCACATATTGTTTGTATGTTTGAAAAGATACACACCTAAGATAACTACATTTCTTTATATGTAGGTTTTACCTAAAAGAAAAATGTAAAATACAAAAAATGTAATTCAGCGATACCTTCTCAAAAGGGGGAGAGGAAAAAGGGTTAGGGATATCCTTCAGTGTGAGGACCCTGGGTTCAGTCCCCAGTACTGCAAAAACAAAACTGAAGAAAAAAGGCTGTGTGTGTACTAAGCATTTAGACCTGTTTTTTTTCTCGTTATTCCCTAAGCAATGCACCAGTTATTTATATCAGTTGTACTCTGATAGGCATTACAAATAATCTAAAGGTGATTTAATGGGTGGGTGTTATATATGAATACAAAAGTTATATATGAAAACTCCCATATTTGTAACATATCTGAGCATCTGTGGCTCTTGAGACTGGTTGGGAGTCCTGAAAACACTTTGTTTCTAATTGATAAAATGATACTACTTCAGTGATACTTGAGTGTCTGGAAATCACTGTCATTCTTACCTCCACCTGAAGCAGGGCCTAGATCCTGTACAGTAGGTACTTGGGAAATATTTCAGTGTTGCATATGCCTTAATCTTTTTAATCATATGAAACTTTCAATTTGGCTTGAAGTTTCACATTTTATATGGATACATTTACTGGCCTTCCAGTCCTCCCTATACTATATAGTTTCACTAAGGATAAGTGATTCTTTTTTTTTTGTTTTGTTTTTATGGTACTAGGGATCAAACTCAGAACCCTGCATTTGCAAGGAAGGCGCTAATGCACTGAGCTATATCTCCAGCCCTGCAGATGATTCCTTTTTTTTTTTTTTCCCTGCAGATGATTCTAACAAAAAATTTACTATTGTATTAGCAAGGTAATTGTACTGTGATAGGATCTCTTAAAGATCTTTTTTTTTTTTTCATTTTATGTATTGGGTACAGGCTCTCACTACGCAGCTTGGACTTGTAGTGATCCTTTTGTGTCAGCATCCCCAGCAATAGGATTTACAGGCATGTGCCACCATGCCCTGACCTAGTCGCTGGCTCAGCACGCCCTAGGGGCAGGGCTGTGGCCGGTGCGTGGGACTGGGAATCGAACCCTGGTCCTTGCACTTGCCAAAGCAGGTGCATAGTCTGCTGAGCTCTCTCTCTGACCCAGGCTTTCTTGAAGATCCAACAAAAATTTGTGCTTTGTTTTTTTGTGCTTTTTTTATATAAGATTTTATAGGTATATTTTAGATAAGCATAATTTTCACACTCATCATTGAGAATTTGTACCTGTACGTGATACAACTTTTTCCCCCATGAATGCTTTGGTTTTATGATAGATTAAAGTATCTTGAGCAGAAAGTAATATAGATCTGTTGAAAATGATTATAAGTGAATCGGAATGGCTCTAGTATTTTTTTCCCCTGGATGATTTCTTCAGAATTGCTGGCAAAGGTGTTGCAATCCCATCTGTTTTAACTGCTTCATGAAATGACTTTGTCTTTTCTTAAAAATAAGATTCTCTAGCACTCCAGAGGCTGAGGCAGGATGGCTGCAAGTTTAAGGCCAGCCTGAACTGAATTGCACAGCAAAACTCTGTCTCAAAAAGATAGGAAAAAAAGACAGAAAGATAGACAGTAAAATAAAATACAATGAAATAAAATAACTTTTTAAGGAAAACTCTAAATTTGGAGTCTTGTAAAGTGTTCCCAGGAAAGTAAGTAATAATATCTTTTTTTCTCAATAAACATTTCTGTAGGAAATGTGTTACCTAGGTAGATATGCTCACTGTTGCAATTTCCTTTCTGCTTTTCTTTTTTAAAATAACTGATCATAGACCTACTTTACTTTCTGCTGTTAATCCTCTGCTGTTAGTGACAAGGCTTGTCTTAATTTCATAGTACTTTCCTTGTTATAAAAACAGAAAACAAGAGCTGGGGAGATAGGTTGGCAGTATAAGGGCCTGCCTCGCATGCCCAAGGACCCAGGTTCAGTCCTAGGTACCATATGTGTGCTGTGCTTGCCCTGGAACTCTGGTGCACCATGCCTGCCATCAAAACCAGGCACGGTGGTGCATGCCTGTAATCCCAGTGCTGGGGAAGCTGAGACAGAAGGATCATTACAGGTCCAAGCTACATAGTAAGACTCTGTACCGAATGAATGAATGATTCTTTAAAAAGCCAGAATCCCAGAAAACCAAAAGTTTATCTTGTTCACTCATTCTCTGTTTTCCTCTCTTCCACATAATAAAGGATGATTGTTAAGTGTTACAGCAGAACTTAAAGAGTACACCAAGAACTAGGAAAGATTGTTTTCTTGCAATTTCATGGGAATGTTCAGAAAAACTGATTTTGAGGTAGGACTGTGTTAATGCCTTGTGTAAGTGGGACAAGGAGAAAGTGGGTTTATGATGTTTAGCCATAAGTTAGCCACCTATTAGTCCTATTTCTAAAAGCTAATTAATACTTGTATATTAAACATTTTTTCTTTTAGATTACATACAGTTTTTGGAACACTTACATAATGACATTTGAAATGTACATTGATAGATGGTTGGTGTAAGCAATATTTTTTAATTGGCCTTGGGAAGCAATCTCTAGGAACTGCTTGCATAGATCATCACTAAGAATTACTATTAAATATGTTATTTGTATTCTTTCGTGTCTTTTAAGTCATTTCTGTCCTAAACTTTTATTTTGATGGACTTAAATATTTTGGAGAGAAAATTGGAATTTTTTCACCATCTTTCTTGTTATCCTTCCTACAAAAATTTTACTATGCGAAATTCAGAATTCATGGGTTACAAAGAGTTGTATTTGTGAAATTTTTTAGTTTTTTTTTTTTTTTTAATATCAGTGTTGGGAATCAAACTCAGGACCTTATGCTTGCCAGGCAAGTGCTATACCGCTAAACTATATTCCCAGCCCCTGTGAAATTTTTTTGAATGGTTTAACCTCACTAAGGTTTAACTTCCCTAAGGTTAAATATGACATTTTCCTAGAAAATTCTTAAGTAACATAATGAATCTTTTTAAAGAAAAACACCATTCTTATTTTCTTATAGATGTACTTGAAGGATATAATGGAACAATATTTGCGTATGGACAAACATCCTCTGGGAAGACACACACAATGGAGGTAACATTTTATGATCTTTTGTTGGCTGTAGTTGCAATCTGGACAACACTTTCAATATTAGAGACAATATTCTACCATGGTTAAGCACCTGAATTCTCATACATGTAATGTAGCATGGTTGTTGAAACATAGTTACTGAGTTTGACTAGTAATGGAATAACCTGTATTTGAGATTATATATGATTTTTTCTTATTGGTTAGCATAACCACAAAATAATGAACATTTTAGAGTAAGGAAGATGATGTTTTTTTTTTTTTTCGGAACCGGGCATTGAACTCAGGCCCTTGCGCTTGCCAGGGAAGCACTTATTCCACTGAGCCATCTCCCGGCCCCTAATGAACATTTTAGAATAAAGTATTTTTGTCTTCCTGTTATATAGGAAACTTTGGGTTCTTATGTCTTGTGTGTTCTATTCAGGTGATTTTTTTTTTTTTTTTTCCTCCATTCCTCAGTCCATCCTCCCTTGAAATACCTACCACACTTCTCTGGTAAGAGTGTTGCACAATTATAAGTGCTGCTGTTAATAATAGATGTGGCCTGTTCTAACTTTGCTTCCAGAAAACAGCCACTGCTACAGGGATTTTATCGTTTATCTGAGGTTTCTGTATAGAATATGAACGTATTTTGGTGAAATGTGTACTGCTCATTTTTATTAAGAAATAGAGAATTAAAACATTACTAGTGTTTGTATGAAATTAATTAGATGTGCAAGGAACAATATACTTACATGGGAAAAAACTAAAACCTTTTCAGATGTGTTCATTTTACAAGCAAGGATAATATAAACCTAGTCATGAAGAGCTAAGATAAGTTGGTAAATAATGTAGTTGATGTACATTTTTAGGGGATAATGCTTGAATTGGGTTATTTTAGGTATTTGTAGAGATAATTCCACTGATAATAATAATATTAATTTCTGTCCTCTATTCATTTTTAGTTCATAATTTAGGATACAAGAAGTCTAGTTTTGTTTTTATTTTTTCTATATAGGGTAAACTTCATGATCCAGAAGGCATGGGAATTATCCCAAGAATTGTGCAAGATATTTTTAATTATATTTACTCCATGGATGAAAATTTGGAATTTCATATTAAGGTAAATTTGTTGGGGAAAGATTGTATTTTGTTTTATACTTAATCCTTTTCCTGAAATACAGTAATGCTGTTATTTTTCTGAATTTTTAAAAAATTATGGACACAGACACAGGGACCAGGGTTTGATCCCCAGTGTGGCATTGTGGCGTGTGCCTGTAATCCCAGTGCTTGGGAGGCTGAAAACAGGATCACTACAAGTTGAATCTGTGTAGTGAGACCCTATAGACCCTGTACAGAAAATAAGAAAATAAAAAATAAAATAAAAACATTTTATGGACAGCTGGCAATTGAAAGATCTTTTAGGGTTAGTAACCTTGATTGTTCATTACTATTAGACAACTTTAAATAAGTTACTGTAAAGCCCTAGCTTACAAATGATTTCTATTCTGGGAGAACTGTCCAGGTCAAGTGCATTTGTAAGTCCAAAAAAGTGAGTCATATGCACCTTGCTTCTGTAATGTGTTCGAATCTAGGTCCGTTCATATCTGTGAAAGGTCGCAACTTGAATGTGTTAAGTCAGAAACTTACTGTTTTGAAGTTTGTCCTTAGCTGCCTTCCCTATAAAAGTCTGGTATAAGAAAAACTATTACTGTTAAGTAATTCATTTTAGAATAAGATATAAAATGGAAATTGTTCATTGTAGACAGTTAAACAGTTTAGCTAATTTGTGTCTTCCCATTAAAATATGAACTATGCCTAATGTATCTGTGATTTTTTTTTTTTTTCTTAACAGTCTAGACCAATGGTGGCAAACCTATGGCATGCATGCTGCAGCAGACTATTTCTATCATTGAAGGCTCTAAAAGGTTCACCATCACTGGTCTAGATAGTACTTTGCCCTCAGACTTCATTAAATATTTAATGAGTAAGTGAACAAGCCATTTGATAATTTCAATGCGTTGATTTTCCTTTTGTGTTCTTTAGGTTTCATATTTTGAAATATATTTGGATAAGATAAGGGACCTATTAGATGGTAAGTTAATAAATCTTGCTCTTTGAAGATTTTGTTTTGTTTGAGTTCTCACTATGTAGCCCAGGCTAGCTGCAAATTTAGATGAGTCTTCCAAGTGATGGGATTACAGGCCTGTGTCACCACATCTGGCAGTGTTTAATCTTTTTTTCTTTTAAAATCTTTGATCTTTTTAGAATAGTATCTGTTGCCTTTTTAGTAGTAGACATGAGATTTTTTTTTAAAAAAATTTTTTTTATTTATCTATTTGGTACAGGTTCTTGCTTGTAGTGATCCTGACTTAGCCTCCCTAGAGCTGGGATTGCAGGCATGTGCCACCATGCCCAGTTTTAGGTGCCAGCACAGCATTCGGTACTGGGGATCGAACCCAGATTCTTGTGCTTGCCAGGCAGATGCTTAGAGCGCTGAGCTATCTCCCCAGCCCCAGGAGACCATATATATATATATATATATTTGACATAGATGGTAAAAAATAAGCTTTTCAATCTTTTGAAATCTTTGTTCTCTACCTTTATTGGTATTAGCAGTATACAATAGTTGATTTCATTTTATTGTATTGGTATATGTGGGCTAGCGAGATAGCTCAGTGGTCTAAAGCGCCAGCTTAGGCAAGCATGCAGGGACCTCGGTTCGATCCCCAGCACCACATGCCATGTCAGCCCTACCCCCAGGGTGGGCTGAGCTGACCATAAAAAAAAAAAAAAAAAAGGAAAAAAAAATTGTATTGGTATACGTATAGCATATTGAGTTTTAATTTTCGTTGTCCTTCCCATCTCTTGTTTCACTATCCCCTTCTTTATCTCTGATTTAAATTCTGCTTTACCTGTCAGCTCTTTTCTTTCCCTTCTTCCTTAGAGAAAACATGCCATATTTAACTTTGAGTCTGACTTATTTTGTTTAACATGACAGTCTCTAATTCCATCTACTTTCCTGAAAGTGGTATGATTTTGTTTGTTACGGCAGTAGAGTTTTCCACTATGCCTATACCACATATATCCATTTGTCTGTTGATGGGCATCTAGCCTGTTTCCACAGCTTAGCTTTATGACTGTGCCACAATGACTGGATGTGCAGGTATAACTATGTAGTACTATCATTCTTTAGAGAATATTCTCAAGAGTACTATTGCTGGATCAAATGGTATCTTTTAGTGCACTGGGAGTACTAAAATCTATGATTACTGCATACTGGTTTCTATAGTGGTTGTACTGCAGTGTGGAAGATTTCTTTCCTCTGTATCCTCACTAGCATTTTATTATTTTTGTATTTTTGATAGCCATCCTGGCTGGGATAAGAATGTAGTTTTGACTTATATTTATTTTCCTAGTGGCTAAAGATATAGAACTTTTTTTTTCTTAGCCATTTGCGTTTCTGTTGAGAAGTATCTATTCAGTTTGCCCATTTGTTGACTTTTTTGCTTTTAATATTTTTGAATTTTTTATATATTCTAATTTTTTATATATTCTAGTTACTGTTCCTTTGTTGGAAGAGTAAGTGGCAAAGGTTTTCTCTGTTGATTTTACTTTGCTGTAAGAAGCTTTTTTTTTTTTTAAATCTGAGACAGGATCTTGCTGTGTAGTTCAGGTTAGCTCTAAACTCACTGTAGCCCAGGCTAGCCTCAAACTCGCAGCAGTTTTCCTGCCTGAGCCTCCCGAGTGCTGGGATTACAGGCATGCACCACCAAGCTTGATTTGTAAGAAACTTGAATTTGACATCCCATTTGTTAATTCTTCTTGTTATTTACTGTGCTATTGGAGTTCCAAGCAGGAAGTTTGTGCCTGTGCCTTTTGCTTCAGATGTTTTCCCATAGGAGTTTGCCTATCTTTTGATACATATTATAACTTGTTTAAAGGATGTGTTTATAGCTACTTTAGAAGTGATAATTAGAGCATTGGAACATTAGAATTTAGAGAACCTAACTAAGCCCATATTCCAGTTAGATATATTGTCTTATGGCAAGCCAGTAAGTAATAGGATGATATATGTTGATGTTCTGACTTATAAAATATGGCCATGCATGGTGGCACACGCCTGCAATCCCAGCACCAGGCGGCTGAGGCAGTTGCATCACTGCAAATTTGAGACCAGCCTGTTCTATAAAGTGAGTTCAATGCCAGTCTGAATTGTATCGTGAAACCCTATCTCAAAAAGAAAAGAAATTGGAGTGTATCTAAAATTCTGTGTTGCTTCATTGGTTTCTGTTTAAATCTGTGTCTACAAGTTCTTGCTTTAATAACAGGTATTTTTGTATCTTTTAAAAGTTGAATATTTAGCTGCTAGGGGGAACTTGCCAATTATATTATTTTACAGCCAGTGTTATTAAGAGTTTAGAGTTTGCTCATATTACTTGTTTTTCTTTTTCAGTTTCAAAGACCAACCTTTCAGTTCATGAAGACAAAAACCGAGTTCCCTATGTTAAGGTACATATAAAATGTCAGAATGATTATTTGGTGGAAAGCTTTGTCATTTTTAAAAGAATATTTATAAACTTAAAAATAATTATTTCATAGGGGTGCACAGAACGTTTTGTGTGTAGTCCAGATGAAGTTATGGATACCATAGATGAAGGAAAATCTAACAGACATGTAGCAGTTACAAGTAAGTAGTGTATTAACATTACTTAGGATACCTATCAGTCTTATATCCTGGAGAAGATGACAGTAACTGGGTTTCCATATCTGACTAATTACAAGAATTTGCTTATTATGAAACAATGCTTTAGTGAAATTGTGAGGGAAAACCATGCTTATAATTGCTTATGTAATATCATTGCAGATATGAATGAACATAGCTCTAGAAGTCACAGTATATTTCTTATTAATGTAAAACAAGAAAACACACAAACAGAACAAAAGCTGAGTGGAAAACTTTATCTGGTTGATTTAGCTGGTAGTGAAAAGGTAAGTGTATATTTGGTAAATACTTAGGCATGTTTTAAACTTTTAAGTTGGGACTTAACAGTTTTGTTGTATCTTTTTTTGTATCTTAAAAACTTGGAAAATTTGATTTAGTAATTTGAGAATTAGAGAATTATAACTTGATACCAATGTTTTATGATTCTATAAATGGATTTATGTGTTCTGTATTACTGTCATTGACCATACTATTCAACAAATGGGTGCTTTTACTTCTGAGAGTAACTTGTTCAGCGAATGTCATAAATATCATTAATCCTTTTCTAATTTTTGGTATCTGCTTTACACATCCTGATGATTAAAACTATTAAGTACCTTAGTCTTTTCTCATTTGGCTGTGTAGTTGCTCTTCAGTACCCATGGGACGTTATCTTCACTATGCCTCCTTGCTCGAGTACTGCAATCTTTGGCTACTCAAGTCCCGTGGGTAAAATGGTGTGGTATCTGTATTTAACTTATGCTTATCCTCCTATATATTTTAAGTCATCTCTCAGTTATGTATTTACACCTAGCACAACATGAATGCTATATAAATAGATGTTTTATTTTCTTGTTTAGGGAATAATGGCAAGAAAGAAGCTTGTACATGTTTAGTACAGATGCAATCTTTTTCCTGAATATTTTCCATCCTCTATTGGATGAATCTATGGATATTGTCAGTTGTACTTATTTTTGAAAAAGTTTAAATGATTTAATATGAATCTCCATGACCATTATGGCTATTCTCCTCAGATAATTCCTTGTAATTAGAATGATGTCCCTCATTCTTTCTTTCTTGCTCTATTTTTTTTGGGGGGGTGGGGTGGGGGTGGGGGAGAGTCTCACTATTTAGACCAGCTTTGAAGTCAATGTGTAGTTCAAGGTAGTTTCAAACTTGTAGTGATCCTTCTGCCCCACCCTCTTGAGTGTTTGGACTATAGGCATGTACCACCACACTGAGCCCTTCTACTCAAAAGGCTTATACACATCTCTCATGATGAAACCATTCTGAGGAACATTTTTTTAGCCAGTATTTCTTATTCTAACGTATCTATAACGTAGGTGGACATTTTACATTTTTTCAAAGCATGTTTATTCATTTAGTTTTAAATTAGAATTAGCATTACACTTTAGCAAATTTTAGTTTTCTCCTTTTCAGTGTAACAAAGGATTAACCAATTAATGAACTACAAATTTCATGGAGGTTGGTTATTTTCAGGAGCAGGAACTAGACATAAGATTTGATATTTCTTTAGTCATATTTTTATTCAACTAGTTGCTTGACCAAGTTCTTGGTACAGTCATTCACGGAACATTAGTACCTTAGAGTGAATACTTGACCATAACACCATGAAGCTTTTGATGTTCTCTCCCTGGTGGTTATTTTGACCTCTACAAATTTCTTAGGAAATTCAAAGAAAATCACCTGAAACTTAATTTTGCATCTTTATTTGGAATCTTATGTATAGGTTAGTAAAACTGGAGCTGAAGGTGCTGTGCTGGATGAAGCCAAGAACATCAACAAGTCACTTTCTGCTCTTGGAAATGTCATTTCTGCTTTGGCTGAGGGTAGTGTGAGTATCCTGTCTTCGTTTTCTGTTTTATTAGAGATTGATTTAAATATAGTTATGTATATAGTGTGAGAGTAAGCAAAGGAGTTAAATCGTTTGTATACTGTAGTTGACATCTTCAGTTAAAATACGTGAAATAACCTTGTATTATTTATATTAGCTTATTTTATGATATAGAAGCTCATTGATTAACGTGTTTTCTGTTTGTATACGTAGACATATGTTCCATATCGAGATAGTAAAATGACAAGAATTCTTCAAGACTCACTTGGTGGTAACTGTAGAACCACTATTGTAATTTGCTGCTCTCCGTCATCATATAATGAGTCTGAAACAAAATCTACACTCTTATTTGGTCAAAGGTTTGTTTTCGAAATTTCTAAGTTTATTACATTTATGTTTCTATTTATTAAATTTATTGACATCAGATAGTTACTGTTCAAATCAGTTCATGTTATTAGTATGCTGGACAGTATTTTGAATTAGAAACACAAATAATACAGATTAGGTCTGTATTTTAGGCCACTTAGGCTTGAGGCAAGTTTTCATGCACAAACAAGTCAGATTTTTATTTTAATTAAATTTATGTAAGAAGCTTTATGTCAGATTTTGTTTTCATTAGTTTACTAATGAAAATAAAAATATAAAGTTTTGTTAAGTAAGTTAACAGGCTTGGCAAATACAGTAATCTGTGAATTGGTTAGAAAAATCAGTAGTGATGCCGTCTTTGACTTTTCTTAGTTCAGTATTGTATACAAATTGAAAAAATATGTCTTTTTTTTTTTTGTCTCTAGTGGGTTGTTGAAAAACTCATAGACTGGGGAAGCCAACTCATTTAGTTGGTTTATAAATCAAATTTAGTTGAGTTATGAGTAAACATACATTTATAGCTTTAAGTATACAGTCTAAGAATTACGTGATAACTAGATATCATTTTCCCTTCAATTACCTCTTAGAGCCAAAACAATTAAGAATACAGTTTGTGTCAATGTGGAGTTAACAGCAGAACAGTGGAAAAAGAAGTACGAAAAAGAGAAAGAAAAAAATAAGACCCTTCGGAACACCATTCAGTGGCTTGAGAACGAACTCAATCGGTGGCGTAACGGTAATAATTTTAGAATTTGGTGTCTTACATCTGTTGAATACAGATTTAGTTTTATTTTATAAACTTGAGGTTTTGATACGAAACATAAGTAAAATAAAGCATGACCAATTCAGTTTGTTTTTAAAGAATTTAGTATTTTTCAGATAAAGTCTTTTATATTGATTTTTTTATTTTATCTGAGAAAAGTTGAACAATGTCAATGCCAGTTAGGAAGTGAAAGCAGGAAGGGGTGCCCAGAAAGAGTGCAAACAACAAAAGGACAAGATTTAGTGACTGGATTTCAAAGACTGGCAGGAAGAATCAAAGATAGTTCCAGGTACTCAGATCCCTGGGACAGAACAGATGGGACAATTGATACAAGCTGCTAAAGTAGAGTAAGAGGAAGAAGCAAGATGGTGGAGCAGTCACCCTTTACAGAAATACAAATTTGAGTAACTATTCATACACAAAAGCATATTCACAAGACCTAAGAAACCAGTGCTCATCTCTAGCCCAGTGATAAGAAAAGACAATGCATAGGGTAGGACAGACAGTTTATTGCCCTTGTTACCCCTTCCCTTCCCTGATAAACTGCACTGCAGAGAAATAGTAAGCTAGCCTTTTCTTTAGGCCCCAACTCTCAGCCTGCTACAGGAAAACCCAGCACTGGGAAGGTTTCAGGGCACAAAGTGCACTCGATCTCTAGGCTTTGCAGCTCCAGGCCCTGGGGAACTTTGACAGCATATAGGACTCTAGAACCCCAAGAATTTGGCCTGCCCCAGCCCTGCCCCACCTCATTGCCCCACACCTTATAGCCATGCCTGGTAGCCTACTAGAATTTGTGTGTGGATTAACTTGTAGAAGGTCTTTCAAGTAGCAACTTCACATTTACAGGCATATGGCACAGGTGTAGGGATCAGGTACATTCAGGGAATAAAAGCAATTCCTGGAACCGAAAAATACAATGAACAAAGGGTTCTTGCTTTCCATGCATGAGGCCTGGGATTCAACCCCCAGTACTTTGAAAAAGAGGAGTAGGAACAAAATAAATAAATGTAATAGGGCACAAAAGAGCAGAACTAACCAATGCAAAAAAAGTAATCTGAACTTTAAGTATAGAGAGAACAATGAAATGGAATGAAACTGAAACTTATTTTAGCCATGTAGAGTTTTATTAACCATGTAATTGCCTGTTTTAGGGGAGACAGTGCCTGTTGATGAACAGTTTGACAAAGAGAAAGCCAATTTGGAAGCTTTCACAGTAGATAAGGATATTACTATTACCAATGACAAACCAGCAGCCACGATTGGAGTTACTGGAAGTTTCACTGATGCTGAAAGAAGGAAGTGTGAAGAAGAAATTGCTAAATTGTACAAGCAACTTGATGACAAGGTATGTGTTGTTTGTTTTATGTCTTTTTTTTAGAATATTATTGACAGATATTTTCGTTTTGCAATTTCAGTAGCAGGGTGTAGCTACATATATGTCCTTTGATTTCTTTTGGCACAAAATTCATATTAACAGAAAATACAAAATCACAAGTTTAGCTGTGTGCAAATTCTATAAAAGCATGTTTTTCTCCACCTTCTATGGGGGTGAGGTGTGTGGGGAGTGCTGGAGACAGTAGGTACTTTGCCCTAAGCTGTCTTCCCAGTCCTTTTTTATTTTATTTTGAGAGAGCCCTAACAAGTTGCCCAGGCTGGGCTTGAATTTAAAATCTTCTTGCCTCACCCTCCAGAGTAGAGATAATAGGTGTTACTCCAACGTGTCTGGCATTTCAGCCTGAGCTTTAAACAAATCTTCCTAAGTACAATTTGACATTAGGTTAATGGAGAGTACTAATAAAGTGATCAACTACTTGGAATCAGGGATCTGCAGGTTCCAATAAAAGAAGAGGTGGATGGAAAGAGTGGGGTAATAATTTTTAGTAATGTGGAGAATTGAAAAGTAAATTCTGAAAAATAGAGCAGTGATGAGTACATGAAAATGTTTTTAAGCTTATTTTGTGGTATATTTTAAGCAGAGAATGGCAGGTTTGAAGTGGCTGCACAAGTGTTTTCTATAATAACTTCATTCTTTTAGAATTTAAAGAATGAGGTATGGTTACACTGGGAAAAAATTAAAAATATGTTGAATGTTTCACTTTTTAAAAATTTTTAATTACAGGGGCCGGGGAGATGGCTCAGTGGAATAAGCGCTTCCCTGGCAAGTGCAAGGGCCTGAGTTTAATCCCTGGTTCCTCAAAACAAGAAAAAAAAAAATTTAATTACAGTAAAAGACACGTTGTCATTAATCCATCTCAGGTAACTGCCCCTTGCTTCAAGCACACTTAGCCCATTTTTAGCAGTATGTCTTTTCCTGCAAACATTCAAACATTATTTTTATCACCTGTTGTACCTATTTAGAGCCACTCACTGTAGCACAGACTTTGTAGCCCACCTGCTTAGGTTGATGTAGGAGAGTTACATAGCAAGTCCTTATCTTAAGAAATAATATTTAATGAGTGGATTTCAGAAATAAAAGCTTTTTTCCTTGTATGATATATTCCCATTATTGATCTTTGAAAGAAATCATTAATTCCAAAATTGTCTTTAAGATTAAAATAAGCCATGTTGAATTAGACAGACTTAGAATAGTTTGGTAAGAATAGTAATTTAAAATTTTGGGGCTGGAGAGATGTCTCAGTGGTCTAAAGCACCTACTTGAAACAAGCTTGGCAAAGCACAGGGACCGCGGTTCGATCCGCAGCACCAAATGCCAGCCAGACCCGCCCCCTGGTGGGCTGAGCTGGCCACACACACACACAATAAATAAATGTAATAAATAAAAAATAAAAAAAATAAAATAAAATAAAAAATAAAATTTTGTATTGGGGAAAAAAAATTGTTTTGGAAAACAGAACCAGGTTAGGAGCTACTTTGTTAACTGGATGCTTCTAAAATTACAGGATGAAGAAATTAACCAGCAGAGCCAACTAGTAGAGAAACTAAAGACACAAATGTTGGATCAGGAGGAGGTAAGTGTGTGTCATAATGTTTTCAGAAAAGCCTTGTAGTTTGTCATTTAAAGACAAAATAATTTACACAGCTCAATATACTAATGAGTATGATTTTAAATCATTGTGTATGTTCATGCTTCATTTTATGTACTCTACAGGGCCAATACTGTATGATCAGTCATTGGAGCAAAGATTGACTTTGACTTAAGCTTAAGGTCTTTTTGGTTTTTTATTTTTATTTTTTAAGTTTACATTTCCTCTAACCCAGAGAAATTGCTAAAAAACATTCTTTTCCAGTAACACACATCTCTTGGGTTCCTAAACTGTATTCTACTTGATGGCCTGAAGTATAGGGTTGCTTATCATCTTATATTTCCTCTCAGTGAAAAGTACTTGCACACAGATAGGAGGAAATACTTCTGTGAAACACAATTTTTATTTAACAAAAAACCTGGTTTCTGAGTCACACTGATTTTGTCTTTAATAATTGTAGACTTTTGGATAACAAAAAAGGAATGAGAATAAAATAAATTTTTATTCATTTACCATATCTGTCTATATCCAGACTGTTTATTTCCACCTTCTTTCATCTTAGTTCTTCTACATTTGTTTTTGTCTTCCTGTCTGCCTACATTGCTTTTTTTTTGTTTTTTCCTGTCTGCCTACTTTGGATCCTCATTTAATTTCATCCAAAACAGCAGGTAGATAATTGAACATGAGTTTTGTTTGAACTTCTCAGGGGATGAGAGAGTGGTTGTCCATCTTCAGTGGAAGAAATATACATACACCCTCAGTAAAGTTAATGCTAATGTGTTCATCCTTATCCTCCTTTCAATGACAGTGTTGTTCCTGTCTATGCATTATAAACCATCCAGCACTCCTGGCCCCCATTATGGGTTGTACCTTAGTAGACGAGAACTTACCTTCTATACACAAAGCCCTAGTTTGATTCCTAGCACTACCCTCCCAAGACCCCACTCATGCACATTTGCAGATGTCCCTCATGAGAAGCCACTGACCTGCTGATGGCAGTAGCCATCTGCTTAGTCTCTTGTCTGTCCTCCACTTAGATACATGCTGATGCGGGGTTTCTCTGAGGCATAACACTGATGCCCCTCTTGTCCAAAGAAAATCTAAACTTGTAAGCAAATTTTCTAAATATCTCATTTCTTATTTCTGCATATACTATTGATGAGTGTAGATTACCTTTTTCTTATATTGTCACATGACTGATAATTACCTATCCAAGCCAAGTTTTCTTTTAGTTCCTTCCAGAAATAGCCCTTTTCTTGTATTGCCAAACACTTTCTCTGTCCCATTTCTTTTCTTTTTTTTTTTTTTTTGACTCTTCATTGCATCTTGTACTGTACATCTATTTACGTGTCTTTTTTTTTTTTTTTTTCTAAATTCCTCAATAGCAAAGTCTTGATTTTATTTCTTCCTTGCCACAGTGGCTGCTGTCATGCATCCAACATAGTGAGCACTCAATAAATCTGTTGAATGAATATTTGCACACCTAGTAGTGTCCACACTTCATGTTCCTTATACCTGTTATCAAATGATGAAGGAAATAAGTTTTTCTTTTTAAACTTGTATATTGTTGGTGAAAATAGATGTTTTACTTTTTCTTAATAGCTTCTGGCATCTACTAGAAGGGATCAAGACAATATGCAAGCTGAGCTGAACCGCCTTCAAGCAGAAAATGATGCCTCTAAGGAAGAAGTAAAGGAAGTTTTACAGGCCTTAGAGGAACTTGCTGTCAATTATGATCAGAAGTCTCAGGAAGTTGAAGATAAAACTAAGGAATATGAATTACTTAGTGATGAATTAAATCAGAAATCGGTAGGATATAATTTGGTTTTCTTAATACTTCAATGCAAGTAATTTTAATTGAAAATTGTTTAAGTAACTTATTTCTATATAATCCTGGGATTGATAGCATCTATTCCCAAAGGACTTATGTCCCAACTGTAGTATCTCCTACATATGAAGTCTTAAGAGACACTTTTTGATATCTGAAAGATCTAAGTAACTTAAGTGGTGTGGTACTTTAAAAGATATTGACTTTTTTTTTTTTTTTTTTTTTTTT